TCTCATGATTCTTTCTTTGTCTTTGATTTTGGTATTTTGATGATGATATGTCTGGGTGAATTTCTCTTGGGGTCTATCATGTTTGGGGTTCGTTGGACTTCCTGAATGGATATGTTCTCATCTTTCATCATACCAGGAAAATTCTCTTCCAACAAATCTTTGACAGTTTTCTCTGTGGTTTTGTCTCTTCCAGTTCTGGAATTCCAGTGACACATAGGTTATTCCTTTTGATGGTATCCCACATGAACCTTAGGCTTTCTTCATTTTGTTTTGATCTTTTTTCTGATTGAACCCTTTCCAAAGAAGTGTTCAGGTATTTGTCTTCAATCTCCCTAATTCTGACTTCCATTGTTTCAATTCTGCTCCTCTGCCCATTCAATGTATTATCTATTTCTGACAATTTAGTCTTAATCTTCTTGATTTCTGTGTGTAGATTTTGAATAATTTCCAATTTTTCATTTATTTTGTCATTTTGTTCTTGTATTGTCTTTTGAAATTGTTCTAGGGTTTTGTCTGCTTTTTCCTTGATCTGTCTCTCAATCAGTTGAAGATACCTAAATATAATTCTTTTGAATTCCTATCAGGGAGTTCCAATGCTACATCTTCCCCAGGGATATATTTTGGGTCTGCAACCTGGTCTCTTGTTTCTCATGCTTTATGTTGCTTCTTTGTGTGGACTGTGATGCTCTGTTGTGTCTGAGGCATTGTGACGTTTTTGTGTTTATATTTAATTGGTGATTGTATGTTGGAGTGCCTTTTCTTTTTCTTTGTTTTGTTTGTATGTTATCTCCGCAAGCGGGGTACTGTGCTCCTCTATTTGCTAGTTGACAGCACTTTTACACTCACCACCTGTCTCCTTTCCTGTTGTCAGCCTCTTGTATTTCCCTGCCAATCTTGGTAAACAGAGCCCATTCTTGGGTCCCTGGAATCCAAATGAGAATGCTATCACTTTAAAATTCAAAATGATTGCCACTTGTAAAGATTCAAAACGGCTGCACCCTCGGTCACTTTAAATATCTAAAATGGCTGCCACTTGTAAACATTCAAGATGGCTGCACCCTCGGTCACTTTAAATATCCCATATGGCCGCCACTTGTAAACATTCAAAATGGCTGTGCCCTCGGTCACTTTAAATATCCAAAATGGCTATGCCCTCTGGACAGTGGAAAGTCAACAGCTCAGGTTGTCTCTCTCCTTGCTGTTTCCCTTCCTAGCCATAGGCCACCAGGGCATTCATCCCTTCAGCCCTTGGTGACCAGGAGTGATCTTTAGGTCAATTCTCAGGTCCCAATACCACTTGGAAATATTCAGTCTGTTGGTCCCATCAGAGTAGCTGACAGTCCACAGCTCCGACTGTCTCTGTCCTCACTGTTTTCGTTCAGGGTTTTCCACTGGTTGGTGCCTAATCCACCTCTGTATAGTTGCTTTCAAAGCTCAGGGCTCCAGGATTATCTTCTTTATCTCTGTCAATTGGTTTTTCTTTTATTTGTTGAAAAGGGTCTGTGTCGTTTATCTGCCTATTCCTCCATCTTCCCAGAAGTCCCAAATCTATACTTTAGATGGTCTCTAAATTCAGGAGGGATATATTCTAGATCATATTTTGGCTCTCGTGGACTTGTTTTAATTATCTTTAACTTCAAGTTGAACTTGCATAGAAGCAGTTGATGGTCTGTTCCACAATCAGTCCTGGCCTGCTTTTGGCTGAAGGTATTGAGCTTTTCCACCGCCTCTTGCCACAGATTTAGTCAATCTGATTCCCGTGTATTCCATCTGGCAAAGTCCACGAGTGTAGCTGCCATCTGTGTTGTTGAAAAAAAAAGTATTTGCAGTGAATAAGTCATTGGTCTTGCAAAATTCCATCATGTGATTTCCAGGATCATTTCTGTCACCAAGGCCAAATTTTCCAACTATTGGTGATTCTTCTTTGTTTCCAACTTTTGCATTCCAGTCACCAGTGATAATTAACACATCCTGATTGCATGTTTGGTCAGTTTCAGGCTACAGAAACTGATAAAAATCCTCAATTTCCTCGTCTCTGGCTTTGGTGGTTGGTGCATAAATTTGAATAATAGTCGTATTAACTGGTCTTTCTTGTAGGCATAGGATATTATCCTATCACTGACAGCACTGTACCTCAGGACAGATCTTGAAACATCCTTTGTGATGATGAGTGCCACGCTGTTCCTCTTCAAACTGTCATTCCTGGCATAGTAGACCACATGGTGGTCTGATTCAAAATGGCCCAAACCAGACCATTTCAGCTCACTAATGCCTAGGATATCAATCTTTATGTGGTCCATTTCATTTTTTACAACATTCAGTTTTCCTAGATTCATACTTTGTATATTCCATGTTCCAGTTATTAATGGATATTTGCAGCTGTTTCTCCTCAATTTGAGTCATGCCATGTCAGCAAATGGAGGTCTCAAAAGCTTTGCCTTATCCATATCAGTAAGGCTGATTCTACTCTGATGATGCAGCTCTTTCCCAGTCCTATTTTGAGAGCCTTCTAACCTAAGTGACTCATCCTCCTCCTCTGTATTGGACAATGTTTCTGGGCTATTCATAAAGTTGTGCAGTAATGTATCAGACCAGACAGTGTTTCTTTGTTATTTATAAGGTTTTCCCTGGGCAATTCTTTGAGAAGTGGATGGCCTTTTCCTTCTTCCTAGTCTGTCTCAGTCTGTAAGCTGTTGAAACCTGTGCACCATGTGCAACTCTGCTGGGTTTGAGACACCGGTGGCACAGTCTCAAGCCTCACAGCAATATGCCACCACAGTATGACAGACTTACAGACAAGTTTCTCTCCCTTTTCTGTTTGAAACCTCCCCATCCTCCCCTTTCATGGATTCCTGCCTCTTTCCTGCCACTTGGGGGTGGGGCCTGGGTCCCTCACCTTACCTAGATCCCTGCCGCTGCTTCCTCCCTATGTCCTGGTGCCCCTGGCTTTATTCTCTGCTTTCCCCCTCACTAGTTGATGCCTAATCCACTTCTGTATAGTTCCTTTCAAAGCCCAGGGCTCCAGGATTATCTTCTGTATCTCTGTCAATTGATTTCTCTCTTCTTTGTTGAAGTAGGTCTTTGTGGCTTGTCTGCCTCTTCCTCCGTCTTACTGGATTGGGTGGAACTATGCAAATAAGGTGTTTGTGGCCCACCCAGAGGATTGGGCAGTCTGCTAAGAATGCAGATAAGGTGCATGGAACCCCTGAGGGGGTGAAGCCATGCAAATAAGGTGTATGAAACTCTAACAACAGGGCTAGTCAGTGCCATCCCACTAGAGTTAAAGAAGAGAGCCAATCCCAGAGCAGGGTGGGGGTGGGGGGACCTCACTACCATCAAGAAAACAAGATGGGAGAAGAATGTGTCTTTTAGTCCTGGGTTCCCTGCACTGAGATTGTCCTAGACCCAGGAGAGAGAGAGAGCTGTAACCCTAGAGATGGTGAGAAGCATAGCAGAGAAATGGCAGAACCAGCAGCCAGGGTGGGATGGCTCAGTGGGCTTTCCGGCCCATGGAGTGAAGAAGCTGCAGTAGGCATGCTGCCCCAGGAGGGAAGGAGCTGAGCACCTTTGGGCCAAGGTTTCCTGGCAGAGTAGGACGCACCTGGGCCCTTAGTGTTGAGCCACAGAGCTTTGTAACACTTGCCCGAGCAGGGCAGATGGGAGGACCAGAGACCCTCCCTGTGGACATGGCTGAGAGGAGGCTGTCCTGATGGAGGGACTGTATCCCGAGTCATTCCTGACCCTGATGATAACCTGTTACTCCCCTAATGAACCCCATAACTGTGAGTATGGCCTGTGTGTTCTGTGTGGCCATGGCAACAAATAATTGAGCCCAGCAGAGAAGTAGGGAGTGCCGTGAGAGGGACAGCTATCAGAATTGGTGAAATTTGGGGAGAGGAGATATGTCTGGCCTCCACCTCATAGCCGATGATTCTGGTCCCCCTCTTAATACTAGAGGAGGTGTGACACAGCCCCCACACGCCATTTTTATCAAAATAGGGAGTGCCTGAAGGAGCAGCCACCATGTGTGCATCAGTCCCGTGGCAGTCCACACCAGGAGTCCCAAAGGCTGGAGGACAGGGCAGGGGCAATGGTGCTAGGTCAGAGTCTTGTACCGCCTGACCTTCCAGTGGTGTGAGTTCATCACGTGGGTGACTTGTGGATTGGAAATATACATGGCAAAGCATTCACCAAGTCAACCATTTCCAAATGTGCAATTCAGTGCCATTGATTCCAGTCTTCATGTTGTGTAACTTTTATCATTATCCTTTTACTAGACACCATAAACTCAATGGCCCCTAATCACAGATTCCCCTCTCCTCCTCCCTGTCTGAGATCCTATGGTATCTGTCCTTTCGTGACTGACTGACTGTACTCAGTGTGATGGTTTCCAGGTTCACCTGTGTGGTGGCGTGCAGCAGGACCTTACTCCTCTCGATGGCTGACTGCTATCCCTTTGTGCATATAGACCACATTGAGTGTATCCGTTCACTGGTTCACGGGCACTGGGGTGGTTTCCAATTTTGGGCTGTTGTGGAACGTATCGCAGTGGACTCCAGCGTGCAGGTTTCTGCTTGCGCTCATACCTTCACTGCTGGGCCTGTCCCCAGGAGCGGGCTTGCTGGGTCATGAGGTCATTCTGTATTCCACTTTGTGGGGTGCTCCAAACTGACTTCCATAGTGGCTGCCCCATTTCCCACCCCACCAGCCATGGTGGAAGGCTCCTGGTTCCCTGTGACCTTGCTGACACCTCTTGTTTTCCGTGGTTTTGATCACGGCCATTCTGATGGGGGTGTGATGATATCTTGTTGATGATTCCTTAAAGGTGACTTATAGAAAAGGTGTATGGGGGCAGTGGAAGCCCACAGGCATGTTGATTTTTGTCAGAACTCTGACCTTTGGGCCAGCCGGCCGGGGCCTTCTGAGGCCTCTCACCGTGGCCCACTGTGGGCTGCTCCGGGCCCCACACATTTCTCCTTCTCCATGCAGTGGACTCTCAGAGGCCTTGTGCTCCTCAGACAGCACCAGGCCTGAGGCAGCCCCCGCGGCCCCACACGCTGCCCCAGTGGCCACGAGAGAAAGGATCCGGTCCCGGTTCCACAGCAGCCACGACCTGATCCACCGCCTCTTCGTCTGCATATCAGGTGAGCTGGTGGAGGAGGGCCCAGGCCTGGGCCAGGTCATGCCTGGCGCCCAGCAGTGGGTGCCCCTGCCTAGGGGCTTACCACGCTCTTTCTTTTCTGTGTCTCCAGATAGAGACAGGGCTCCTTTGTGGTTCAGATGGTTAATGCGCTCAGCTGCTGGCTGGAAGGTTGGACATGTGAGTCCATCCTACATACGCCTAAAAATGAGCCATCGTAAACCCTGTGGAACACAGTTGTTCTTGGGCGCACGTGAGGTTGCCAGGGGTCAGGGTCGCCTCCGTGACAGCTTCTTCTGGTTTCATGGAAAGACGTGAGCTTAGTTCTCCTCGAGGACCCCCTGGAAGTCAGGGAACCTCTCCCACTTTCCTTGGGCCCTTACTGCACCCCTCTGCTGGGGCTGGAAGCGGGGCACTGCCTAATTGGTCCTTTAGATTTGATTGTCCAGCTCGACTGTTTTCCTCCTTCTCTCTGGATGCGTAAACAGTGGGAGCATGAGGGGGAGATACTTTACTTCCAGGAGAATCTGGGGAGGGGAGGGAGCCGGAAACGTGTACTCTGAACCATTTCCTTTTGGTGTATGTGTGTACGCACTGAGTTTGTATGGTGTATGTGGTATATGTGGTGTGTGATATGTGTAATGTATGCGTTTGGTGTATAAGTATGTATGTTGGTGTGTGTGTGTGCTATGTGTGGTATGTGTTTGGTATGTGGTATGTATTGTGTATGGTATGTGGGGTATATGTACATGATATGTGTGTGTGTGTGTGGTTGGTGTATATGATGTGTGCTTGTGGTATGGGTGGTGTGTGTTATGTATATGGTGTGGGGGGTATGTGTGGTGTGTATTATATGTAGTATGTATACATGGTACATGTGTGTGTGGTTGGTGTATATGGTGGGTATGTGTGGTATGTGTTATGTGTGTGGTGTGTGTGATGTGTGGTATGTGTGTGGTGTGTATGGGGTAAGTGTGGTGTGTTATATGGAGTGTGTACATGGTACAAGTGTGTGGTTGCTGTGTGTGTGATATGTGTAGTGTGTGTTATATGTGAGGTGTGTGTGGGTAGGTGTGGCGTGTGTTATATGTAGTGTGTGTACATGATAAGTGTGTGTGTGGTTGGTGTGTATGTGTGGTATGTGAGGTATGTGTTATGTGTATGGTATGTGGGTGGTATGGGTAGGGGTATGTGTGGTGTGTTATAGGTAGTGTGTGTAAATGGTACATGTGTTTGTGGTTGATGTATGGTATATGCAGGGTATGTGTGGTGTGTTATATGTATGGTGTATGTGAGGTGTATGTGGTGTATTGTGTGTATGGTGTGTGGTGTGTATGAAGTACGTGTGGTGTGTTATATGTAATGTGGGTACATGGTACATGTGTGCGGTATGTGTTGTGTGTGTTACGTGTGGTGTGTGTTATGCATGTGGGGTGTGTTATATGTAGTATCTGTACATGGTACATGTGTGTGTGATTGGTGTATATGTGTGGTATGTGTGGTGTGTGGTATGTGTGTGGGGTGTGTGAGGTGGTTGATATGTGTGGTGAGTATGGGGTACATGTGTGTGTTATATGTAGTGTCTGTGTGGTTGGTGTATATGTGTGGTATGTGTGGTGTGTGTTATGTGTGGGGTGTATGAGGTGGTTGATATGTGTGGTGTGTATGGGGTACATGTGTGTGTTATATGTAATGTGTATACATGGTACATGTGTGTGTGGTTTGTGTGCATGGTGTGTATGTGGGGTATGTGTAGTGTGTGTTATGTGTATGGTGTGTGTGGGGTATGTGAGGTGTGTGCTGTGTGTGTGAGGTATATATGGTGCGTGTTGTCTGTAGTGTGTGCACATGGTACATGTGTGTGTGATTGGTGTATATGGTGTGTATGTGTGGTGTGTGTTATGTGAATAGTGTGTGTGTTTGAAATAACTAACGTGTGCACATGGTTCAGAAGTCTGTATAAAGGTACACAGGGAAGTGCCCCTGCCCAGTCTCTCACCCACCCTGTTCCCACCTCCTGCCTAGGGGGCAGGCGTAGTGTGTGTTATATGTAGTGTGTGTGGTTGGTGTATATGGTATGTATGTGTGGTGTGTGTTATGTGTATGGTATGTGTGGGGTATGTGTGTTGTGTGTGTGTGATGTGTGTGGGGTATGCATGGTGTGTGTTGTCTGTAGTGTGTGCACATGGTACGTGTGTGAGGTTGGTGTATATGGTGTGTGTGTGTGGTATGTGAATAGTGTGTGTTTTTGAAATAACTAATGTGTGCACACGGACATGGTTCAGAAGTCTGTATAAAGGTACACGGAGAAGTCCCCCTGCCCAGTCTCACCCACCCTGTTCCCACTTCCCACCTACGGGGTAGGTGTTCAGATAGGAGCCCGGTTCCGTCCTGCCGGCAGCGCCTCTGGGGCCGGAGGGGTTGCCCTGGGCAGGAGCAAGGGTCTGCTTGGGCAGCCTGTGGACAGACCTACCCCTGCAGAGTCACGGCCATAGGCCCAGAGGGTTTCTCTGGACACCTGAGAGCCTGCAGACCCAGCTGTGAGCCAGGCCAGGTGTGATCCCAGGACCCACGCGGGCCTGCCCCAGGCCTTGGGTGAATCCTGCCCCAGACCCTGAGCGACGTCCTCTGGTCTGTTGCAGCTGCCCATCCCCGGGCTTGTTTTAGGGTTTGGTCACTGCCTGCCTAAGCCGTGCTCAGCCTGGCCTGGCATCAGGGAACCCCCGCCAGGGGGTGTTGGCTGCGGGATGGCCGCTGCTATGGGCATGGATATTCATGTTCCAGGCGGGGTGGGCGGCTCTCCCTGGCTTTGCTTAGATGCCGGCAGCCCCAGCGGCCTTCCTGCCAGCATGCCTTTCATGGGGGAGTGGAAGCCCCCTCATCCGAGGGAAGGAGAGGGGAGAAACCTCTGCAGGGGAGGCTGGGATGTCATCCCCCAGGGAGCGGCTGGCAGCCACCTGCGGGCAGGGTCCCCCTGAGCTCCTGGTGCGCGGAACCTCGCGGGGCCTGTGGTCATGGCCGTCGGGAGCAGCAGTGTGTGGCCTGGGGGCTCACCCAGCGCAGGGCTGGGCGGGCTGTGCGGGGAGAGGGGTAGATGACCCCATTGCCTTGATGGTTAAGCGTGACCTTGGTGTGTGTGGTGTGTGTGGGCTTAAGCGGCTGTGAGAGTGGGCAGCACGTGGACCCCCTGTTGAACGTCCACAGTTGAGGCTGTGACCACACAGATAAAATGCATGCGTGTCACTGACAGACTGGCCGTGGTGGTGCTGATTAGGGTGGTTCTCGTCCCGTTGCACACCCCTGGACTCCTGAATTTTGACTTCTGCCAAAGGAATTGTCTCTCATGGGGTGGGCAGCCCTTCTCCTCTCCGTTGGTCAAGGAGGGTGGGTCTTCAGCTGTGAGGCCTGGAGCGGCTCTACCCAGCCGGCGGCATCACGCGTCCAGCCCGCCCTGTCCTTCCGTCTGACCTTGTGTGTACTCCCCGTGACCCTCTCCTAGGGGTGGCTGACCAGCTGCAGACCAACTACGCAAGTGACCTGAGAAGCATTCTCAAAACGCTGTTTGAAGTCATGGCCACCAAGCCGGAAACAGACAACAAGGAGAACCTGAGGAAGGGTAAGCGCCCCCCCAGGCCAGGCTCCAGGCCTGTGCTAACCGTCCTGGCCCTAGCAGACGCAGACCCTCTGGGAGGAGCGCCACCCACCCTAGGTGTTCCATGACCTGCACATTCCAGATAGAAGTGGCCCAGGCTCCCTGCTCTGGGGACCAAAGGGTGTAGCTGCCAAGAGAAGCGGGGTCACAGCCGGGCGGGTGGAAAACGAACCCCCACGCACATGCTCGCACCCACAGCTGCTGCTTCTCGCCTCTGCCTGGACGTCCAAGCAAGGCGGCTGACTCCTTACTGCAGACGGGCAGGGACCGGACCCAGGAGTGTCACAGTGTCACTTCTTCGTGCTGCATAGATCCCAGGGAGGGGGCATGGAGTCCACCTACGTCTCTGTGAAGTGTCACAAAGAGTCTGGCTGTCTTTAATGGCCACATGTACCTGCACACAGTCACACACATCACAGACACATGGAGTGGTCTCTCACAGTCACGCACAGGCACACGTGCACACACACACATGCACATAACACACAGCGTTATCTGGTGAAGGAGACTGACCTCAAGGTTGGGCTGACAGATACGGTGCAGGGAGTCCATCCCGTCTCTTCCTGCAGGGGTGCGGCAGCGTCCCAGGACGGGGAGGACATAGTCCGTCTCTCCCTGCAGGGGTGCGGCAGCATCCCAGGACGGGGAGGACATGGCTCTCCTCCCACTGCACTAGTGCAGGACGGAGGCTCCTGTTTGGTTACCTCTTGCTGCTCCGACAGGAATGGCTTTAATTTATTCTCTTACAGTTTTGGACGTTACAAGTCTGAGTTCTAGGTGCCAGGCTCTAGGGGCTGGGTGAAAGCCCTTCAACCTTGGGCTTCAGCTCTGCCTCCCGCTCCCAGCCCACTGAAGTTGGGGGCTTTTCTTCACTCAGACAGCTGCTGGCTGCTGAGACTGGCAAGCCCCAAGGTTGACAAGTGAAAAGGCACAGTCCTGATGTCACCAAACCACACGGCAGGCCATTGATTCAGGTCCATTAAAAGTCCCAAGATCGGGAGGGCAATATGACAGGCTGCTGAACAACGACTTGGCTACATGCAGGGTCCAAACGTGCCATCAGCTGGTGACCTTCCTCAGAGTTGCTTCTTACATACGGGAAGAAGCCCACATCCCTAAAGCAGCTACTCAGCTGCCCCAGTAGAGTTAATGGGGTTAATTACCAGTCTCATCATGGGGAATACTACCTCCAGCTGCCCAGCCACTCAACCAGGCCCAGCCAAGTTGACACACAAACTTAACTACCACAGCTCCCTTCTGGAGGAACCCTGCCCCGTTGTCTCCCGGGCCAGTGGGCTCGGCCTGCCATAGCCCTGTCCCAGGTGACACTGCCTTCCGAGTCCCAGGAAATTCCCGCCAGCTGCTTTGAGGAAAAGCCTACTCAGAACTAGCTCCACAAGGAGGGAGCGCTCCCCACAAGGGGCCTGAAAGGACACTGAGCTGCACGGAGCCCCCCACCTGCCTCAGCGTCCAGGGGCCCTGACCCTGACAGACCAGGCAGGGCCCCCTGTGTGTGTGGGGGCACAGTGAGAAGGGGGAAACCTCAAGCCTTGCAGCCCACCGTGCTGTGCAGATGAGGGCCTTGGCCACACCCCCAGGAACTTGGTCAAGTGCCTGGACCAACCCTCTGGGGAGCCCTGTGACTTGCGCGGGCGGCAGGGCAGGCAGAGGGCCGGGAGGGTCACGTGCTTGGGCAACAGGCCTGAGTGGATTGAGCCTGGCTCAGAGGGCAGAGGGGATGGCGTTCAGGGGAAGAGGATGGTGGGATGCGTAGTTGACCCTGTGCTTGGCCTTCAACATGGCCTCCGTCCCAGACCCTCACCGCCCCTCCCTGCTGGGGCTGAGCTGCCCCAGCCCCGCCCCGTGCCGTGCGCAGGCCTGGCACACCATGGAGCCCTGCTATTGGTGGAGCAGGAACTGACTGACGCAGGCCTGTCTTGGGTCTCGAGGGCCTGAGCCTCTGCTGGCGGCCTCCTCCCCCAACCACCATATCCAGCAGGGTCCTGAGGCTGGCAGCCGGCGGCCCAGTCGGGCTTTAGGTCCTCCTCTCTGAGTGACCTTTGTGCAGGTCTGGGTCACTTGTCAGCAAGTCTGGCAACAAGCAGCCATGGTGAGGAGAGAGAAGAGAGGAAGGGGGGCTGAGAGGCGGTGCTGGCCCCGGGTGGGTGATCTGCCCCTCCTCCTGGGGTGAGTGGGTGTGCTCACCCCTAGCCTTCCCAGGGTCCTGCACCCCAGACCCTGTGTCCTAGACCCTAGACCCTGGACCTAGTACTCTGGGCCCTTGTACCCTGTACCCCTTACCCTGGGCCCCTCACCCTGGACCCTATACCATACACCCTGGACCCCACATCCTTCACCCTGCATCCTGGGCCCCTCATCCTGGACTGTGTACCCTGGGCCCTTCACCCTGGACTTGGCACCCTGGGCCCTTATGCCCTGGGCCCCTCACCCTGGATGCTAGACCCTGGCCCCTCACCTTGCATCTTGGGCCCTTCACCCTGCACCCTGGGCCCCTTACCCTGAGCCCCAAGGCGGGAGGGCCTCCCTGCTGAGGTTACCCCGAGCCTGCTGGGGCAGCAGACGAGGACTGTGGGTCCTGGACTCCACGTGCCACCAGACTGTGGGGCGGGCTTGAGTTCCAGCAGTAGGGGCCCTGTGAGACGGTGCCCTAGGACCCGGCCCTGCTGGCAGCACCGAGGGGCATGTGGTGCCAACCACCAACTGGTGGTTACACCTCCTCCAGCTGCCTTTTCCCCTGCAGTCACCCAGACGCTGCGGAGCGTGGCCCTGGAGGACTGCGCCCTGTGCCAGGAGACCCTGTCGTCCTCCGAGCTCACAGCCAAGGCCCGGGACGGGGACTTGGAAGGTGCGTGGAAGCCTGGGCTGGGCAGGCGTGCTGCACATGGAGCTGAGTGTGGCGGGGCCCGTTCTGGATGTTTCTGCCCTCTGCCCTGGGCCTGGGGAGCCATCTGCAAGCTGGGGACAGGGAGAGAGTACACCAGCAGATGGTCTGGGCTGGAGCATCTGAGGCCCCAGAGGAGCATGCCCAGATCTGAGCTGGGTGTTTTTGTCATTGCTTTGCCCTCCACGCCTGCCGCAGGGCATTGACAGGGGCGGCCCACCAGACTGGGTGCTGGCAGGGCCCTGACCAGGGGGTCTTGATCAGGGTTCTCTTAGAAACAGAACCAGTGGCACGGCTTCAGGGGCTCATCCCTCCTCCCTGGTTCTAGAAAGTCTAGCATCCGTAAAATTGGAAACTTTCTTCTGTATTTTCCCCCCTTTAGATCAGGATTCTTCTATGGAATTGTAGTCAAAATGTCTGGTAGTGGTAGCCGGGCACCATCCAGTTCCAGTCTCATGGCAAAGGAGGCAGTCGTTCATGGAGGCAGTTAGCTACACACTCTGCATCCTCTGGCCTGACTCCCCTTTCTTCCTCTGTTGTGCCTTGGATGGCTGCTTGCAAGCTTTTAAGAACCCAGGCAACAAACTAGTGGAACAGAAGAACCAAACACATTGTTATATGAATTAACTATGATGTCCCAGGAAACCATGACCTTAAACCTCCAAACCAAGAAACCAAGTCCTATGAGGGTTTGGTTGTCACGGGTTGGTTTTGGTTTTGGTTTTGGTACACGTATACATACATATATATATAGAGAAAGAGAGCCCCAGTGGCACAATGGTATAGCACTCAGCTGCTTGCTAGCTGAAAGGTCAGTGGTTCAAACCCACCAGCAGCTCCATGGAAGACCTGGTGATCAGCTTCCATAAAGATTACACCCTTGGAAACCCTCTGGGAAGTTCCCTGTTCTGTAGGGCACTGTGAGTTGGGATCGACTGGACGGGGCACACACACACACACACACACAAAATAGAGAGGGAGAGATTGACTTCAAGGAGTTGACTCACAAAATCGGGGAAGGGTGCTGAAACATCAAAGAGCCGTAGATCAGGCGACAGGCTAGAGACTCCTGTGGATTTGTGTCTCAAAATTCAGAGGTGAGATTACAAATATAAGTTACTATGCCTTTTAGCATTGTCCCCTTATTCTAAGACGTAAACACCAAGCAGGTATTGCCAAACTGCAGATTTTTCTCTGGAATTGTTTGTGATAACAGAAAAATAGGTGACTAAAGCCAGGAAATCAGCTTGAAGTAGCCTTTTTCTGTTTCTAATGGAGATTTGCAAAGAATTTTCAGGAAAAAAAATTTTAAAAAAAATTCAGAGGTCAGGCAACAGGAGGAGTCAGGAGTTCTGGCAAAATGTCTGTTCAGAGTCTGCAGGCAGAAGTGCCCCTAGGGAAAGTCCCTTTTTGTTCTTAAGCCTTCAACTGATTGGACAAGGCCCACCATGTTACGGAAGGTGAGCTGCTTTACTGAGTTACAGTCAGCTGACTGCAGCACACGTAAATACCTTGTCACACTCGCTAGACTAGTGTCCATAACACAGCAGTGAGCCTGACATAACATAGAGGACAAGGTGGTGCGGGACCGGGCAACGTTTCGTTCTCTCATGTATGAGCACTCCACGAGGCAGAGCCAACCCATTGCCACCTCACACCAACACACTAGTGTTTGATCAGATAGCAGGGCCCCATGGATGGCCTAACCAAGGTGACCCAGGAAGTTAACCACCGTCCACGTGGCCTGGCCTGGGGCGTGCTGCCCAGCTGGGGTTGGATTCATCTGGAAGGAGTGACCGTCACAGCTAGTGACCAGAGTTGCAGGGGGAGCTCAAGGTAGGAGAGCAGAGGGGCTGCGGGGCCCCCCAGTCAGAGGCTGTGCTGACCCTGGCCCGGCTGTCACACCACCTGATGAGTCCCGGCTCTCATCATGACAGATCCCCCGGAGTGGGTGCCGGACGAGGCCTGTGGCTTGTGCACCACCTGCAAAGCACCTTTCACTGTCATTCGCCGGAAGCACCACTGTCGGAGCTGTGGGAAGGTAGGCCGGGCTCCTGGGTGGCACACAGCGGGCTTCGGGGCCAGAGACTAGCCCATGGGCCCCTAGGACCGGCAGTGCAGGCATCCTGTCCACAAGCAGAGTGCGTGGGACTGGAAGCCAGTAGGACCCTGGGGGCCACATGCAGAGAGCCCCAAATCCATGCCCCACCTGCCTCCTGGACAAGGTGTTGTCCTTGGCCCACCGAGCAGACCCAGCAGCTTCCAAGTTGGGACAGGGGAGGGGGCTGGAGGGTCCGAGTCTCTTATCGCAGCCTGGATGCAGGCCCTGGGCTCTCGCTTGAGGCCTCCCAGGGCCAAGACCTGCCCCAGGGTTCCCGTGGGTCCCTGCCCCACAGAGCTGGTCCAGACAGACCCCACCCACTAGCACAGAGCCTGGCTGGGGTGGGTGGGAGGGCAAGAGGCCCTTGGGCCTGGGGGCGTCCTACCCTGGGCCTCTGGAGGGGTGCAGGCCCAGGGGGCGGCCCTCGCTGGCCACGGCCGAGCCCCCACCACCCGCTTCTTCCAGATCTTCTGTTCCCGCTGCTCGTCTCACTCCGCGCCGCTGCCGCGCTACGGGCAGATGAAGCCGGTCCGTGTGTGCACGCACTGCTACATGTTTCACGTCACGCCCTTCTACAGCGACAAGGCGGGTGTCTGACACAGTGCTCAGGCGTGTCCCCAGATTGGCATGGGGCACTGACTCAAATTCCCAGGAAGGAGACCGTGGCCCTCCGTGGCTCCCTGCTCCCCGCCGCCCCCCGCAGGCCACACCGTGGGTTTCATTGCATTTCATCTGCTGCTGCTGCCGCTGCTGCGGGGGCCGCGGGGCTGCCCAGCCTCCAGACCGTCCGGACCCACTGTCCACCCAGCCTGGGGTGGCCACCGAGGGCAGCCTGGGTGCCTAGTGGCTGCCCCAGGCAGGATGTCGTCCTGGCCGGGGGTTCAGGTTCTGCCCCTGTCCACTGAGCTCACCTACTGCCCAGGGTTCAGCCGTAGCAATACCTGGGGGCCGAGTGGGGTGCTCGAGCCTGGTGGCGTGGTGGGTGGCTGGCTGGGCTCCAGGCAGCCCCAGGCACCAGGGGCCAGATCCGGGGGCAGGTGGAAGACGTGCTTGGGACAGCGTGGCCCTCAAGGGCTGGCCCTTTCTCTCTGAGGGCCTGAGCCCAGAGCCACCCTCAACCTCATCCCCTGTGCCAGCCCGCCCCACCACTGCCCTGCCTTAGGACCTTGGCTTGAACAACCTCTTATCATCTCTTCTTGGAGGGAAGAAGGCAGAGAGTGTGGACCCAGCCCTGGGCCGCCATCCACCCGCTGACCAAAAGGTTTCTGGGCCATGGCTTATGTGCCAGGGAGGCCCACGGCAGAGGGCCCTGGGGGTTCTCAGGCAGCCACTGCCCCTTTCCCTCTGCACCCCTTAGTGCCTGGGCCCTCAGACCCTGGTGTGGCTGGGCTGAGACGCCTGTCCCAAGCACGGACATCTCCTCAGGCTTCATCTGGCAAGGACAATTGCAGTTTTATTTTTACAGAAATGACACACCTGACGCTTCTTTTATAGGATAAAAGTCTAGTCACCCCACCAGTGGGATGACACGTGTGAGCTGGCGTCTGCGGACAGAGCGTGTAACAGAGCGGGTATTATGATGTATTTGAGATTATTTTTATTTTCTGAATGCTGTGATCTCGAGCCATTTCCATAAATCTATTTAAGGATGGCAGACGCTCCCGCTTCTTCTGTGACCACGCCAACTTCCGTTTTCTCCTTCCGGAAGCCCAGTGCTGTCTCCTCCTAGTTCTGGGGCTTTGGGATGCTCAGGACAATTAGAGAACAGGACTAGGCTTCCCAAGGGCCCGGCACCTGACTGCTCTTATCACTGGTGTCCCCAGGAGCAGGGGCCCCCACAAGCCCCAGCCTCCCCACTGCCGGCTCTTGGCCCAGCACTGCTCTGGGGGTGGTGTCAGCTTGTGTGTGGGCGTCTGGGGGTGCTCTCAGCCCCCCCCCAGGGTGGCCCTACTCAGCAGGCTAGAGGGCTCCCTTCAGGTTGCCCTACGGAAAAAGCTGAGGGCAGGCCACCTGGAGGGGTTGCCACGGCAACGGTGCTTGCCTTTGGTCATGGCTTCAAGTCCTAGGGACTTGGATGCAGGGTCCCACCGAGGTGGGTGTCCCTCAGGTGGGCTCTGGGGGGGCCAGAGAATGGGGGCAGGGCTGTGAAAGGAATGGCTCACAAAGCCACTTCTCTCTGGGAGGGGAGAATGTATTGCAGAAACGGGGCCCCGCTGACTGGGGCAGAGACCTTGGGGAGCAGGAGAGAAGGGGTGTCCACTCCTGCTGCCCAAGGCCAGACCCTCAGCAGGAAGGACTCAGCCTCACTGCCCTGGGTTCAACCGGCTGAACTGAGAGGTGCCCCCCACGACACTCTCTCCATCCCCTGAATGGCTGTGGCCTGTGTCGCCAACTGCATAACCAGGCCTCTGGAATTGTCAGCTGACTGGGCGAGGCTATCCCCAGCTGCCACCTACCAGGAAGTCAGCCCCCCCTCGGAGAGCTCCCCAAGCAGCTTCACAGTGGTGGGCTCCTCCTCTCCCCAGTTGTCACCTTCCAGCTCAGACGTGGCGGCCCTCCTGGTCCACCAGGTCAGGGCTGGGAGAGGGACTAGGGGCCCAGGAGAAGCAGTCTACCCATACATCTGCCCCCAGGTGACAGCAGCCCCCTCCTGCCCAGTGCAGACAGGGAGGGGCTGCTTGAACTCAGGGTGGCAGGCGGGTGGTGCGGTCCCTCGAGCCAGCTTTGACCCCCTTTGTGCAGGGCGGGGGGAGGCACCCTGAGCGGCCCTGCTGGAAGCCTAGGAGCACGCGGCTGGCCAGGGCTGCAAATGGAGAGTCTCTCTTTGCCTGGGACTGAAAGCCTTCCTGCAAAGTGGGACTGCCAGTGCTAACCCCAGGCCATTTGGTCATCCTACCCCAAAGGTGCAGCCAGAACCAGGGGCTGGCGAGGGATCGGTCCAGGGCAGAGGTGGCCTGCTGCCCACCTCAGCAGGCCTTGGGCTTGGGAGACCTCCAGCCAAGAGCTCTGGATTTGGAGTCAGCCCTTGCTAGCTAGCCCCGGGGCCTCAGGGACACTGCGGCTCACAGAGGGTAGTAAGTGGCTGGCTGGGTTGTGGGTTTCTAAGAGGTTCCTCTAAGAGGGAGAAGCAGAAGTGCCTGTGAGTGGGACATGCTGGGAAGTGCCAGCCAGAGCTGGTGATGCTTGGAGGGCTACTTCCGGGAAGACCATCCCAGGAATCTAGGTCCAGGCACACACTGCCCACTGGCCCCAGCCTGCCTCTGAGTGCTAGACACCAGGCCTGCTGCCTTGGCCAGGACAGCTGCCGGCTTTGGGGCTGCCAGCTGCCTGACTCAATGCCAGTGCTCTGAACTGGGGGGCCTCAGATGGGCATAGCAGCCACGCACGCCCCTGCCCAGAACTGGAGGAAGGCCAGGGACACTCCCCTGGCACACCAGGGTCTGAGTGCCCACCTTCCCTGGCTGGGTGCCCTTGGGCAGTTGCCGGCTCTCTGGGCTGTGCCTAGGCCTGGGGCAAGCAAGTCAGTGATCTCCCCAAAACGGGGGAGAATCCCGGCAGAGCGTCCAGTAACAGCAGGGGGCAGGAGTTCGGGACCCAGATGCAACCTGCAGCTCCCCGTGGGGCAGGCCACCAAATCAAAGTTTGCATGGGTGGAGGAGGGGGCCACTGAGAACTCCAAGGGGCTCAGAAGGCACCTGGGCAGAGAGAGCGCGCTGCAGGGGGTGGGGCAGTCCCACCCTGTCCTGCCCTATAGGAGCCCTCGCCCCCTTGTGCTAGGCTGGGTTCTCTAGAGGAACAAAATCAGCCATAAGTACATAGGGCTCATGCAGTTGTAGAGGTTGGCAAGTCCCAAATCCCTGGGTCAAGTGGCAGGCTGAAGGCTTCTCTTGGCTCACATGGTTGCAAGGGTTGATGAACCCAAAATCTGCAGGTCAGGCAGCAGGCTGGAGGCATCTCACTTCCCAAGAACCAGAGGTCAGACGATGAGAAGAGTGCAGGATCAAGAAAGTGCCAGACATCCATTTATATACTGAAGGCAGGCCCCACCCCCAAGGACACTCCCCTTTCAACTGATTGGCTGATCACCTCAGAGCACACCATGGAAAGTGATTTCATCATACCACATTATGGAGGACAACCCAATCCAGGGTCTGCCAAACCATTGAGAATCACACCTGAGCCAAGATGACATACATTAATTATTGTACCCACCCACTGCAGGCTCAGCTCAGCCCCCAAGAGATGGCTCCAGAGCCCTCTTATCACCTGGAGGAGCCCCAGCTGCCCTTCCCCACAGACACGCCAGGTTGGCCAAGTGACATGGAGGTGCCTGGGTGCCAGCAGTCAATCCGCTGGGGGGCTGTAAGCAGTGACAAGGAGGCTGTGGGCATGACAGCAGAGGAGCCTGGTGTGGTGGGGGCATGCCAATGGGCGAGGCTTCAGACACATGGTCAGGTCCTTGTTGGTGAGGAAGTCAGATGAGAGGAGGAGCCGGTTGGAGGCAGGGTCCTCTCACCTCCCTCCTGGTTTGAGCTGGGCTCCCTCCAAGGCTCCAGCTACAGCTCCGATGGCCACCAGGGGGCAACCTGACCCTCTTCTCCCCGTACATCCTGGCTGCCAGGGCCTGCTGTGTTGGCGGCAACTGGAGCTGTGAGCACAGGGGGTCACTGTGCTGCCGGTGGGCACCCCAAGGCCAGACTGGGTCCCCTTGTGCAGCAAGACTGAGTGACTGGGCCCCAGACCTCAGGGTCCTGCAGGAGGGTGGGGGGTCCAGAGACATCTAGGCTGGCTCAGCAGGGTCCACAGCCAAAGGGGACCATGTCCCAAATGGCTCAAGGAGAAATGCAGGAGGGGTACCAGTGGGAACCAGACCCCCAGACCACGAGGAGTGGAGGAGAGGGTGGGGGTGGGGGCTGACAGCGTCTGGGAGAGGGTGGCTTCTCGGTTCCGAGGGCCTGAACCACACTGCCCCCATGCTGTCCACCTGATTGTCCTGTTCCTGGATTCAGTGAGATCTGGGGCGAGACCCAGAGTGTCACCACAGGCCACCCTGAGGTGCTTGTCTCCTCCCAGGTCCACCAGGACCCCTCCTCCAGGCAGCCTTCCCGGGCAGGCACACTCTCCACTCACCACACACATCCCCTGCTTCACAGCCCTGCCAGCCACTGGCCTCAGGCAGGATCTGGGATCTCTTTGCCCAAGTCTGTGACTCTCTGGGAGCTCCTCCCGCCTATGAGCCTGGGGCAGTAGGAGGGGTGGAGCAGTTGCGAGGTGCGCAGTACGGGGTACGCAAGTGCACCACAAAGCCAGAAAAACACAATGTCCAGAGGGCTGTTGGGTGTTTTTGCTGGTCTGTTTGCTCCCACCTTGGTGAGAGGTCTCTGGGCCGGAGCTGGGCAACGGTGAGCACCCAGACCTTGTGGCTCGTGGATCTGGGGTGCAATGGGGACCTGGCCAAGCCGGAGGGCCTTGGAGGGTGGGCGGGCTAGAGGAGAGGGAAATAAGAGCAGAAGCAAGGACCAGTCAGAAAAGGGGACCTTCCCGGGGAGTGGGGGGCGAGCAGAGCTGGGAGCAGGGCTGGGTCACCGAACGTCTGACTTCCTGTTGGGGGCACTGGGGAGCCATGGGAGAGTGCAGAGCCCAAAAGATGTGGTCCCTCGGGGCGTCACAGGGAGGATGGGTTGATGGGGAAGGGCCGAGGCTGGGGACCTGGGGACACCTCGGGGACTGAAGCCTGCATCAGAGGCACGTGACAGTTTACACACAGCCACCGCTCTGACCATGCCAGTCTCCCTCTATGGACCCAAGGGGGGCAGGCCATCCTTGCTGTGGCCAGTGGGCTGTGATCCCAAGAGGCTTCTACACCCTGGGATGAGGCAGCTCGGGTCACACTTGCTGGATCCTGGCCCCTGCTGCACTCTGGGAAGACTGCGGTCCCAGCTGGGAGTTGGGGAGCCCAGGCTCCGACGCTCAGAGCATCCAGCAGAGAGTAGAGGAAGCCTGTGGCCCTAGGAGCCTGAGCAGCAGCCACAATGCCAAATGATCTGCAGGTGCCTGGGAGGCTTCCTGGAGGAGGTGGGGGAGCAGGTCTGGAAGGCCCAGGCCAGGAAGGAGCCTTCATCCCCAGAGATCCCACAGCGACAGGGCTGATAGAGGGGTGCAGGGGAGCCCCAAGGCCTCCACTGGGTGATGGGAGGGACATCGGCCACCCATCCGGGCCCTGCCCTGCCCAACCTGGACCACGGTACTGCCAGGTGGCCTCTCTCCGCAGCTCAGCCTGGGCCAGGGGGTTGGGGGTGGCAGTGGACCCTTTAGCTTTGGGAAAACGCCCCCGCCACCCTAGCAAATGCGCAAGTCTGTACTCACCGCTCTTCTAACTCCTTTTTGTCCTGTCAAACATTTCGAAAGGTCATTTTATTGTTGTATTTTTGGCCACAGGAGTCAAAGTTGTCCTGACAGTATTTGAGGATAGAGGGGTGACCTTGTAAAGTGAGAAGAATCTACCCGACAAATTTTTCATGAACAGAAGGAACATTTTTCTTATTTTAAATTAAAGGATAGTATCAACATTGTGTTAGGTCGTGTAAACACTGAACCACATCTTCGTGAAATGTGATTTTGCTGGTTTCTTCTTGTCTTTGGGGAACTTTTTTTTTTTTTAAGTGGCTGCTGCCCCGCCCCAGGTTCTGACCGTGACTCTTTAAATGGCCGATGGTGACTGGGTATGACCCACCCCTCTGGGCCCCCATCTCCCTGTGAACAGGTCCAAGGGCTATGAGCACCCGTTGGTATGGGTGGTGACGGGATACTTCCTGTCACTGCGGGCGGCTGCCCTGGGCTTTCTGCATGCATCCTCATCCCACTTCCAAGCGCCCCCAGAGGCGGGGACTCTCACCCTCATTTTATAGTTGGGGAAACTGAGGCTCACACAGGTGAGGAGTCTCGTTGAAGGTCTTGTGCCAGGACTAGCATCCAGAGTAGGCTTCAGGGGAGGAAGGACCCCACAGGACTCCTCCTCAGGCCCTGGGAGGATGCTGGCCCCTGGCACAGCCCAGGACGGCAAGCTGCTGAGCTTGGCAGGGGCTCTCTAGTGGCTGATGACCCCGGCTGGGCTCTGTCTGTCTCCAGGTCCCACAGACCAGAACCTACATCCAGGGAGCTGTCGGAACCAGCTTCCCTCCCAGGGACTGCGATGGGGACCCTGGTGGGCACAGGCAGCTCACCCCAGTGACTGAGGTGGCCAAAGGCAGGACAGAAGGGGGGTCAGGGGCCAGTCAGCCTGGTGTCAGAGTGGGGAGATCTAGAGGTGGGGGTGCTCGCTGAAGCCATGTTGAGGCTCTCAGGCACTGTCCCATATCAGCAGGGGTAGGGCTGGGAACCTGGTCCAGAGAGCCCGGGTGGGGGGGGGCAGGGCACAGGGCGTAGGGGTGAGGCTGACAAGTTCCTTTCTCTGGGCTCCTTTCTGCAGGTCATCTAGGGCCTTGGAGCCCCTCATGGGGTCATGGGTGTGGGGGAGCCAGCCTTTCCCAAGCTTGTGGACCAGGAACCCTTCATTCTATCCTCAGCTGCCCCAAGAGGCACATACAGTCAGCCTTGTTTTATACCGGGGAAACTGAGGCTGGGGTTGGGGTAGGGAGGAGGGTGGGAAAAAAATCCCAGGAAATGCGCACAGATGGGAGACCACCCACCCAGGCCTTCCACCCAGAGTTGGCCTCCCGGAGGCCCCAGCTGGAGCTTCTGGGGCAGGGAGGGTGGGCCATCCGGAGGGGTCCATGATGGGCTGGGGGCCTGCAGGATGCTTGGGTATGGAGGGAACTGAGAGGATGCGTGGTAGAGGGCCCCTGGGGACCAGTGTGTGTGTGTGGGAGGGGTGTCTTAGTGTTCCCAAATCAGTGGGGTGGGCTTGCTCTAAGTGGAGGTCAGACCTGGGAGAGCCAGTGGGCTTCCAGGGGGAGGAGGCTGGGGCTGTCCCCACCCCTCACAGGGTTAGCCTGTTTCTAGGACAAGTCCCTGCTCTGGGGAGGGGGCCCCCAGTCTGGGCAAACCTAGGTGTGGAGGAGACAGCTGCCCCAGCCTGGGCTCCCCTGTTGGCGTCCTGCGCCGTGGGAACCCGGGACCAGTGTTCCTTCTGCTCCCTGCCTTCCAGGGTAGCACGCTGAGGCCCAGAGAGTGTTCAGAACCAGCCTGTGGGTATGTGTGTGGGGGTGCATGGCCCACAAACCAGCACTCCCCTCTTTGCAGCCCCAGCCCCTCCTCTCTGGGATCCTCTAAGGGCCTTCAGCCAATGCCACAGGCTTACACGGGCCCCCCGATCTCACAGCGCTGGAGAAGCGAGACATGCCCTGCCTCCTCCGTGCCTCCTGCCCTTCCTCTTCCTTCTTCCTGTCAGCGGCGCTGAGCAGCCCACGAGGTGCTCACTGTGGGCTCCCCACCCCCCTCAGCCCTTCTCCACCCCGTGGCCCTCACCCACCTCTTCCTCTGACCCACCCCAGCATGGAGCATGGGCACTGGTGAGGTGCTCTCCTCGGAGTGGGGTGGGGTGGCTGTGAGGGCAGGGGGGTCCCCATACCAGCCTATGTCACAGCAGGGTGGGAACAGACACACACAGCCCCGTTCCATACCTGGGCACCACATGCGTGCTTCAGGCTGGCCGTGGCAGGAAGGCAGGGGGCACGTGCCTGGCAGAGAGCACTTGTCAGGTGCCACCCAGAGGTGGAGGACCTTGTCTCCTGCTCAGGCCACACCCTTTGACCCCAGGACCTGGGGTCCTCCCAGAGCCAGAGCCTCCTTCACCCTGCACAGCTCTGGGCAGCCCTGCAGACTAACTTCAAGGGCCCCCGTGGGGCACCCTCATTAGGGGTCTTCAGGGAAGTAGGAACAAGGGTGATGGCTGCCATGGAAGGAGCCCTGTGAGGCCAACGGAAGGCTGCCTGTGGCAGTGTCTGACTCTGCAGAGTTCTTTCCTGCCCCCACTTCACAGATGACACAGCTGGGATCAGAACCCAGCAAGCTGGGCTGGGTGAGGAGGTGGCTTTGGTCTCCATGTCCTTGTTACCAGCTCTGGGATGCATACATGGAAGTGCTCATCTCCATTTCACGCGAGAGACTGCTGGGTCACCGCCCCGCCCACCTTCGCCACTCCCTCACCCCACAAGTCTCTAACCCTTGTTAGCCCCAGTCTCCTTACCTGTAAGTTGGGGAGGAGGAAACACACAAGGAAACGTGTGTTAAGTATTTACGTGAATCCTGGTTGGAAAGCGCTGAGGTTTTGAGCTTTAGTTTTTGTTTTGTTGGCAACCACAGTATCACCACCCCCACCCCATTTAGAAAGGGGGAGGGGGTGGGAGTGGGGCGTCCAGCCACCTACCCCACACTATCCAGCCTTTTGGTCCCGTGACATGCCCAAGGTCTGGGGCTGCTCCAGGGCAGGGGACCCACCTCTCCCTGCCCTATGTGGGAGGGTCAAGGGCTAGTGAACCCACCTGCCAGCCAATGCCTTCAAAAGAAGCTCATTTTACTCCCACCGAGAGCAAGCCTCTTCGCTGGGAATTCCTCCTTGCACCGGGGGGCCAGGTGTGCCTCTCTGAAGGTCCTGACCCTTCAGACCCTCCAGACCCTCCATTCTCGGGAGCCCCTCCGGACTGTGACTGCAAATCTCTGCCCCTTCTCTAGGCCTAGGGCCCCCTTCAGCCCTGTGGTGCTCTGGGGAGGCGGGGATCCAAGAGACCTGCTACTGTTTTGAGTCTTAGTTTCCCCATGGAGACGCTCGGAGAGGCCTGGCTCTCAGGCCGTTTGCGTCGTCCCGGTCTCCACAAGTCTCAGACTTTCCCAGGGTTACTGGGTGTCTGGCGGGTAGGGTGTCTCGTTAGCCGGATACCCTCGCCCCAAGGAGGCAGCAAGGCTCAGTCCACCTGGGAGTCAAGGTTTTCAGGTGGCCGTGGGCAATAGGTTCCTCCCCGGGCGTGCAGATGCAGGGCGTGCGCGCAGGCCCCGGGGCATCACGGCTCCCAGTCTGCGCTGGGACGTGCCCGCGCCCTAACGGACCTCGCCGGGCAGGAAGGCCGGGCCGGGTCGGGTCGCGCAGGGCAGCACTGGTCCTAGCCGCGCTCCTTCCTCTCGGCAACGCGTCCGGCCGCAAGCGCCTGTCATTGGCCGGCGCCCAGCGGCCGCTCATTGGTCTGCGGCCCCTGTTTTACATAGGCTCTCCGGGCCAATCGGCGTCCAGCGCCTACTTAACATGCACGACTGCCGCCAGTCAGCGAGCAAGGGGGCCGGGCCACCACGTGCTGTTGCTAAGCTTGGGCTTCTAAATTGTTACTACCACTGCGGGCCTATCCCGACCGAGATTCGGATCTGTCAACATTCTCGGCCCCCGCCCGAGGCATTCGTAGCGCTCCCATTGGCCCCGACCCTCCACGGCGCCCGCCCGCGGAATCGAGGCGCCCGTTCCTATTGGCT